GGGGGGTTCTAGAAGCCCCCAAACATGGCACAATTGTGCCCCTCAAAACCTTTAAAAGGGGAAAGGGGGCTCTTTGAGCAAAATGATTTTTAAAATTTATAACATGGTTCTGGAGGAGCTGAGCTCCTTGATGCCAGTCACCGAAGAGATGAGTAATACATTTGAAGTTTAAAGAATCCCAAGTTTAGAGGGGGAAAATGGTTGACTACATTTCCCAGAATCCCCCTGCCTTAGAGTTGTAGGCCAAGAATGTGAAGTTTTTGGACTCTGAAAAACCCTCATGTCCATGTTTTTCTTCCAGTTCGCTTTCCTCTATCTGGTTCTGATCCTTCCATCCGAGCATAAGAGCTGCACACACCACTTGTACACTAGATGAAAACTTCCTGTCATTTGTGCTCATTGGCCCAGGCTCTCGGTAAGTTGGAGCCCAAGTATTTATGAAGATGGCGCCCCACTGGGAAGGAGGCCTTCTGAATAATGATAAGCTCCTTGAACTTTAAAGGTCAGCCGCTCATTGAGATGTGAAGGGGGAGGGAAGGTGGGAGACCTAACAGACGTTCTCAGTAGGCTGGTCTTTTTCGTAAAATGCAAATTACTCTTTAATAATACTCTTTAGTAAAACGGTAAATTACAAATATTAAAATCATTGTTTTTAATTTTGCATTTTACTAACCTCAGCTCAGGCAACTGGTGTTTGCACAAATTCGGCAGGTTCATACTAACTTTACATTTTGATTGTGTGTGTGTGTGCATTTGTTTATAGCCACCGTATATTTTTCTTACTGATTCTGTATAGTCTTGTGTGTGTGTGTGCATTTGTTTATAGCCACCGTATATTTTTCTTACTGATTTATCTCTGTATAGTCTTTCAACTATCAACTTTATAAGTGCCGTTACAGCGGCACTCCCTTCTAAGCAAAAATGCATAGGGTTGTGATGCTAGAGTGTCCATTTTGAGCCAGCGGTCCCATTTGTTGAACATAACTTTGGTGTCAAGCCGCTTGATGGTTTCTTTTGCGCTTTTTGGATGATGGTCGGTAACACTCATAGCTGTAACTGGTGCTGCAGTTCCAGAAGAACGCTATTGTAATACAATACTGCATTGGAGGTCTGTAGACTCTT